ATTCCTTCCGAGCCAGAGTAACTGCCTTGACAAGTTCCGGACCAGTCGCAAATCCATTATTGGTGAGATAATGAGTACTAGAAACACCATACAGCCAAGGTAGTCCATCCTCCACGATGAACAATGGGCCACCAGATTGCCCAATAGTTCCGTCTGCATCAGTTCTTACAGAACCTATCGTGCACGTGTGGCATTCCTTTATGGAGATGCTTTCCGCCTGGAGTGTAGGGACGCCCCAACCCTTATCCTGTGGGTAGCCAACATGAGACTGCGTTCTATTAGTCAAATTCAATACAACTGATGGGGTACATACAAACATAGGCTTGTTGGCCTGAGTTTCGCAGTCAACAGCCTTGACACCCAAATACCCAAGCTTGTCACCGAGACGATCAGCAAGGATAAGAACGGCCCAGTCATTAGCCTCGTAGCAAAAAATGCCACCAATGATCCGGTCAGGCATAATTGCATCTGTCACGTAAGATTCCCCAAGCCTGGTTCCGTTGAAGTGGCTAGGTGAGAACTTTGCCTTGCGAACGGCTTGAAGATTGTCGCTCTTCACGCAGTGCCGAGCTACCATGACGTGTCGGGGACCAACTAGCGATCCAGAGCAGACGTTGGTTTGGTTGAAAGGGACCTCCGATAGGACATCGAGTCTTCCCATGGCGCTGTAAGGGTACTCCTGGTTGTCCAGGACGACTCTTTCATCGTAGCCGCCTACGGCGGTGTCACGCAATTCACGTGGTTGCAGATGGGCAGGCAGAGAAGGTGGGACCTCTACCAAGGGCAAGGTTCTAAGATACTCTCGCGTGAGGTTGTGGTACTGTGGCATGGGCGCGTCCCCTTCGAGCGAGACAGTAGAATAACCCCGAGCAGAGTTAGACTTGACTCCGTCCAAAGGGGCTGTGATTGCCATATGGCAGAGGGCAAGGATACCGAAGGTGACGAACATCTTAAGCGACATGATGGACGGTGAGATGTTTTGATGGTGAAGTTGGAGAGAATCATAATGGGGGGTGTGGGTTATTTATACTCACTTCTGGGTTTTGAGTTTCAATTTTACTCATTGTTGGGCCTACTCATTTGTGTAAACCTATTGATACTAGGGCTTTACTCTTGAAGGTAACCTTTTCCTTCTTTGCGTGGAGTCAACAAAACACGAGCATGTTTAGACTTTGAACTCAAATTTCCCACTCATGCAGATGCCGTCACAATGGCCGCTTATGAGAATATGACACGGTATAAGGATGAACAGGTAAGGTAATCATTTAGGCACTGTTGTTGTAATCACTCAATCGTGTCCTCGCAATGAGACTTGGCAAGAGGTCATATTGGAAGAACCTGGTAGTGTAGTTTCTGACTCTTTTGAGATATACATGACAGTTGCAGCGACAGCGTTTTTGAGTGCGTTTTCAGGAGCCCTCTATGGTTGATAATGAATCAGTTAGACAGTAGCAGTTGCTCACAGCTGTAAGCCGGGACTTTGTGAATAGACTCAAATTGAACGGTCCGTCAAGGTAGCTGCCGATTTTCCAGAGTATCGGCTGATGGCCTTGTCACAGCATTCTACAACACTGGTTCAGAGCCCAACCGCAGTAATTGGATATTCAGGGCCTGCCTACAAAGTGAATGGATGTTTTCTATACAGACAATGAATGCAGTAACTGTGTTTTTTTACTATAACTAGAATAGATATCACACAAACTGATCCCAAACATACAAACTATACTTCAACATCAGAGTAAATACTCAATACGAATCAAGTCACTTCAATAAAAATGGCTGGATCTTCGCAAAACGACAACCGTACTTACGGGACTTATATCCACACCTTTCCATATTCCCTCCTCATCGAAGACAACGGCATGCAGGTACTCAACGATGCCTTGACCGTGATCTATCCAAATGGGGCTTCAGCTTTCAATGATGGCGCCACTGTTACCGTAATAATTACCGACGCTGCTTCTTCAGAGCCAGAGAATCTGAAAGAGCTCCTCCAAGATAGTGGCGCACTCAAGAAGGATTGAGGAATAGGATGTAAAATAAGGGTGGCTGTAGTCTGAGGAGTGGAGGCAGAAATTGCTGTGTGGCGCTGCTCTAGAAGAACATAGGTACCGATAATAAATCAATTCATATCATACTGGTAGATGCGCAACATTTTACGTGTCCAGTTGTGATAAAGCATGGGTTCTGTAAAGGCTAATCTCAAACTCTATCAAGATATAGGTTTAACAGAGGGCGTATTAGTGCCCATGCCACCATGACACGTAAATGTCCCATAACTGAGTTACTGCACATGTCTAGAAGCATCCACGTGAAAACAAGCTCTCCAGTATTCGTGCTATTTCGTGTATCGCCGAGGGTAAATACTTTAGGTAGTGCTTTCGACGTCTGACAGCGTTCTTTGGATTATCATGGAATACCAGAAATGTAACAGATAAGTGAGAATACTTTTGAGGAGCTCATCGAATGAATTTTAATAAATCCATCCAATCTTAGTAGATCTTCTCATAATTTATTAAATTCAGTAAAGAAGTTTAATAAGTTTATCTAATTTTGATAGAGCTTTTCATAATTCACTAAGATTAATAAAAGTTTAGGATAAAGTTTAGAGGATTATCTGACATTTCGCACATCCCCTCTCCTCTTCAAAGCCGAAAGGCCTCACTCCGAAAACAAAACACAAGCAGCCCGTCTGTCCAAGAGGCTCTTGTTACCTCACTTCTCAGCCATCCGCCTAGTATCCGTCACTTGACTCGTCGCTTGAGTCTTCGTATTCGGAGGCTGAGTCCCCCGTGTTCGCTTGGGCCTTGGTGATCCGAGTCTTGGTGGTTGGAACTTCTGACTGTGCATCATCCGAACCGTCATCCTCCGAAACGTCGTCCTTGGACTTTTATCGGTTCTTCGCGGCCCATGCTTTCAAGATTACAGCGCGCATCACCCGAGCGTCACCGTCTTCATCACTGCCTCCATCGTCAGAGTCTTGGTGGGTTGAATCCTCGTCATCCGTGTCTTTGTCCTCGGGAGCTTCCTCGTTCGGGTTGTCGTCAACCAAATCGGCCTGCCCGGCAGCCTCAAGGTCAGGGTCGAATGGAGCTTTGTCGAGATTAGGGATGTTGTTTGGTCAAGTTCACAGCTACACCCAGCTCATCAAGGCGTGCTCGAGCTACGAACACATCCATCACATGATCTTCAAATCGGGATCAAGTGCATGGTCGGCATGGTATTTAGAAGAGTTTTGAGGAGCTCTTAGGATAAAGTTTAGGGGATTTATAAAATCTTAGTAGATCTCTTTATAATTTTTTTAATATCTTTATACTTTATTATATCTATTCATAATTTAGTAGATTTCTTTATAATTTATCAAAGTTGGTCAAGATTCAGGATAATATTTAGGAAATTGTCGGAACTTTTACGCACCAATAAAGCAATAGGGACAGTGATAGCATGGTCTTTTTGGATGATCACCTTTATTGGTGTTCTACTAATGCTTGAGAAGCTCATGGAGCTCTACAATTCGAGCGCGAATGATCGCTGGCATCGTATGTGCATTTGGTGGTCTGTGATGGGTTAGTACATGACACCTAAACTTCAAGCGTACACAGAAATGGATTGTACCTACCGTTGGTTGCGACAAACACAGGGAACAAGTACTTCTGTTGTTGGTGAAGAATTCGGGTCCGGGCTTCGGTCCAACGATAGTATTGGGGTTGTTCGCAAGGGGGAACATAGAAATGAGTCGCTGGGCGTTCTCCTTTAACGTGTGATCTCGTGGCCACACAATGGTCTTTGTCCCGGCGTTTTCGATGGTCATTTGCTGGCCCAGATGGTCATTTTCATACAACACAAGAAGGCTCATGCGGAAGATGCGGGAAGCATCAGCGTGGCCGAGAATCCAGATCTTGGATCTCTCTAGGTAGTACTGCTTCCATACGGTCTCTCCCTGGGTTGCAACCGCAGCGGGACGGGTGAGAAAGATAGTTCCCTTCGTTGTCTTTTGACACTTCGACCGACAAATGAAGCCCACGGCTCTCGCAACCGGCAAAGAGATTTGGGTATGCTCCGGGGCATGCCAGATGATAAAGGCTTCGGTCGGTTTCAGCCAGATATTCTTGCGGGTTCGGTACTCGTAGTGGTCGCGTTTCTCATACCAAGCAGCACTGATCTGCCGCAGGGTCCCGTAGAATAGAGGTTTTCCAGTTCAAACTGAGTCCGGCTTGCGTTCCCGTGGTTTGAAAGATCGTTCTCATCGTTCGAGTGAACAGTCCGTATTCATAACCCTTGGTTGGATGAAGGAAGTTTGCCATGGAAGTGTTAGTCAGTGCTAGAGCTATTATAATATCAGGGCCAGTGCCAGTGCAGTGCAGTGCTGATGCCTTGTGTTATTCACCTTAACTGACCCACCTTTCTTGTTCACTTCACATCAACACTCTAGGCCAACTTCTTCTCTCTGCCAACTCCATCTCTTCCATCTTTGATATCGATTCTTACAATACCAAGCCTGAAACGCTCCTCATTCTTCCATCGACCCCAGTTAATTGCGCATGTTTGGATTATCAGACCAGGCAACAAAGCGGAGCCCTCACAGCCGCATCATTGTTGGCTCAAGGTCAAGAAGTGGGAGAAGGGAGATCCAGACCAGGTTGCTCAAGTAGAGACCATGTGGAAGATGTTACACGCTCATTTACTAGTTCGAGGATATGAGTCCAGTTATAAACTTTGCGTGGCCGAGTCCTAATTGCGGTGATTGGGTTCCCACCCGAAGGCTCAGCGAAGTTAGATGAGAACAATGATAGACTTGATGCTATCCATTTGGGATTAATAAAGACTTTGAGGTTATTTCTAGGACTGCGCTTGTGGTTTTGTGATCTGGTATCTCTTGTCAGGCTGTGTCGACGTTAGACAAAGAGTGGTGACGTAATGAGAGCACCGTAGCCTACTGTCGCGCTGCACTTGCCTCATGTACGAAAAGAAATCATCCCTGAGCATCGAACAAGCATCCAACCCGGGTGACGCAATTGGTTAGCGTGTCAGACTTTTACAGCATTGTAATCTGAAAGTTAGGGGTTCGAGTCCCCTCTCGGGTGTTTTTTTATTCAATTTTTGCAAAATTGTCTGATAATCTAGAGATCAAGGAGAATCGATTGCAATAGTTTTGGTTAATTTTGGAGGTACTTTGGTGGAATTGTGAGGGTTTGAAGATGTAGTAGCTGGAATGGGCGGATGTGGCACCCCCATTCGTACAGCCACGCGTGCACGTGATTGTGGCGCTGGCTACTCAAAATCAGGCCCGAGATTACAGGCAACAACCTTCCTACGTCCTGCCCACTGTAGACCCGAGTTGACACAATACATACCAATGATATCCTAGAAATCAGACCCTCAATCACAACACTTTGCTGTACCACGATCATTTCAGAACAAGCCCAATAAAGCAGATTTACAATGCAGAAAAAGAGATCCGATTACTAGCAGAAGATACCAGAAGAGATTGCGGTGTATTAACTAAGCTAAGGAACAAGCTGCGATCGCGGCTAAGTCCCTAATAGAGCTCCATCAGGGCAGTATAACCTCACAACGCATTGTATCTCGGTCCTTACTATTTTCTTGGACCGCAGTCGATATCTTGTGGCAGTTGGCTTCTTTTCAACCGAGGGCAAGCCATCTCCTACGGTAGGGAGAATCAAAGCAGGGGCGAGGTCAACACACAAAACCTTTACACCAAGATACCAAAAACCACTGGACGAACAATACCAGCCGCCTAAGGCGAGGAGGATTGGCTGAGGGTCTGGAGCGATCAACTACTCTTTAACCGAGCAGTCTTTCTCCGAGAGGGAGAGCTCTCTGTTGGAGGTAGGCTTAGAGGTGGGCTTAGTAGTGGAAAAGGAGGAGGAGGAGGAGGAGGGGCCAAGGACTTGGGGCAATCAACTGCCCTTTGACCGGGCAGTCTTTCTCCGCAAGGGAGAGCCCTCTCCTGGTGTCCGTCCCTCCTTGGAACCTACACCCACCTGGTGTAGGTACTTCTCCAGGAGGGTGGCAAGATTGGTGAGGTCTGGGGCGCGAGGTGGCATCTTGGTGTTGTGACTTGTGGGATGGAATCTTGAATCACACACCAGACCAAGGGCACCGTATTCCCCAGCATCCTTCTGCTTCTGTAGCAAAAAAGAGCTAGTTGCCGGGTATCGGGTGGTTGATGGTGCCCGTGAGGGCGCGAAAAGGTTTGGCTGAGTTCGGTGTCGACCCAGATAGGCCGTGGAGAGTGTCGACTCTGTTGGAAGTACTATACCGTTGGTTGTGTTTGTCGGTGGCATTCTTATCACCAGATGCATTTGTACGAGGTCGATGGACGTCGGAGAGTAATTTTCTCTTCTTGGGCGCCGGCAGCTCAGAAGCCAAAGGCTCCGCGTTATCCTCTTTCGCCATATGCCTGGTCTGCCTCATGAGGCGCTGTTCGTACTGTCCGGCTTCAGAGTACAACGTAACTGCAATCAGTATCAATACGTATCACTTCAATCAGGGGAAGCGAATTAATTACTTACAGGACCGAGGCTATGAGAGAAGTAGATGTGCGAGCTGATGACCTTGTCAGTGGAGGAGCATGTGATGCGAGTGGTTTGACTTACGAGGACTGCTTGAGGAGGCATGGGCTCCTCCGAAGGCTGGCTTGGCCGCCGCTTTTAACTATTCGGCTTCGTGCACTATGGAGGTTCAAATAGTACTAAAATACGCGCAATTAATCAGTAAATACGATGAAGCTATTTTCAGCTTCGTATCCTCACAGATGGTAGAGGTGCGGGCTCTTGAACGTTGTTGTGGAGGAGATTGTGGTGCGGGTGATGATTTTTTGAGTGAAAGGCCGGTATAAGTTATGATAAACTCTTCCCAATTTATAAGTCTTAGGATAAGATTATATAAAGTTATACCAAACTCATTCTAATTTATACAATGTTGTATAATCTCATCCTAAGATTATATCAACTCCGGACTATGAATTAGTTAGGATCTATTCGGCGGCCGGGAAACCGTGTTTTCGAGGAGAATACTTACTCTGCTGTAGTCTCGTCACTTGGGACTAAGATTCCCGTGTCAACCGGATTCAGTCAGAACATACTGAGCCCGCCTCGCCAATTCAAGTCCAACGATGGCGTTACTAGAACCCTGGGTTCCGAGCCCATGGTTTGAAGTTGGAGTGTCGAGTGGGCAGGCGCGAAGCGGGAAGCGGGAGAAGCGGGATGCGTTAGACCCACATGGCGCAACGTTCTCCACAACTGTACACGTGTGTGGCACATGCATTCTTTCGTGTGGCACGCCTACTCCGATTCTCAGTTAGAGTACAGACGATAAGTCGTAGAATACTGGTGGGAAATATAATGCATTTTATAGGCATTTCGCGTTAATTCACCAGCTTCTTGTTGTACTCATGATTTAGGCAGCTTGCGGCTATCCTTCTGTTTGTCCTGGGGATTGGCAAATTGGTGGTGGAACACAAAAACCGGGAGTTTGCCATCGTTTGACAAAAATACACAAACAGCTACAACCCAAGGCCCCATGCCAAACGATCAAATATTTCTGTCAATGACATGCCACAGGAATCCACTGTTTTTTTAGAATCTTGTTTGGCCTAAACCCTCACTACTGGATGATTTGGCGACATTGTCCAGGGAGGAGATTGAGCAGCAAGATCGTATTGTCGCGAAATGGGACAAACGAATTTCATCAGAAATAAACCAATATTACACAGATGATTAATCGCCTTCCACTTCGCCACATCCACTTCTCATCCCGATACGCTAAAATGAAGGTTAATGAGTGATACCGGGTAGGTGATGCTTCACAAGAAACAGTCATGCCATCTTCCATTAGATGTGACGCCACCTACGTCTCGAATTGTATCTAATACTTTTACGGCAGATAACATCTTTTCCAGGATTTCCAGCATGTTGGTAAACTTGCGCGTCAAGACTTCGCCTTACGTGACATCGGCAATGTTGAGTTTCTCACAACCAGGCAGTCTTTGTCTTGTTACCATCAACGCGTCGTATGAGCCGCACTCAACACCCGTAGGTCCGTCGCTAGACTGACGCTATCATAAGCTTAAAGCTTCAATCTGGACCCGACGCTCCGGTCGGCTCCCTCTCACAGACGCGTCCATTAACGCCCCAGCAATGCCTCAACACCGCCTCAATTCATCCCCAACCAAGACCTATTGACTTTTATCATGTAAAATATCCAGACACGACTGAATTTTGCCTCTGGGGCTCATATCCACGTAGCTCTCGTCCCGACCTCCTACACAAATGATGATATGACCTCACTGACGTCATGGATGGAGCCAAGCAGGAAATATGCAACGAAATTAAGCTTATCCGTAGACAAGGTTTACCCTGGCTAGTCGACACACATTAATTAGAGATTACGGTACGGATTCCCGTACGGATGCTGTTTTCCTGTTACTTTGAGACAAGCACTGCCAGGAGATGGTTGGCCTCTTAGGACCTCCTGCGCATCGGAATTGTAGATTCCCGCGGATAGACCCATGGCGCGTACGGAGTAGGCAACGGATCTTGATGTCGGTCTATCGACGGTCGGATGATGTGTCAAAGCCACGTCTGCCACGTTTGCTTTGGGCATCACGTCCAGGTCATTGCTTTGGCGGTGTTTACCACGGCACTTAACATATGAGCAATTAACCCGTATCATGATTGCATCGAGCTGCCAGATTGAGAAACGGATGCTATCGAGATTGACGCAATCAACATGGTCTCTAATGGTGATGAGTTTCATTCAAGATTTCCCCTCGAAACCAGCCAATCCAATGTCCGATTCCTACTGGCTCAAAAGGTGTCACTGCAGGGACAACAGTGGAGCTAAACAACAAAAACACGATCGACAAAGGGGGCTATGCCATCAGCATGTCAGGCGACGCACTTCATAGGTGGAAGGAATTCGTAATGTCGGTTACTGTTTCTTGTGGAATAACTTTAAAAAATGGAAATATTCCCCAGTCATATCGCCTCCGAGGCATCCCATGTGAAGAGACGGAGTACAGAGAAGAGAAAACCTGCAGCTCCGCCCCTTTTTTAACATTAAGTTTTAGGGGGTGTGGGAGGGCAGATCTAGCGTGGATGGGCGCTATTAAGCTTAAATCGAGGCTTAGACAATGACGATGGAGCATTCTGTGGGGACCGGTCGGAGTAGGATGGTAGAGATTGGCTCTTTTTGTAATTTGAGTAGTACAGTTGAGCGGTTGGCAATCGTTGAGTCTTGGCGGACAACGAGTAATTGCATGATGCATTGATGTCTCAGGCAAATTGCCAAACAAAGACAGCGACAATCATGCGAATTATCGCAAAGAAGTCATCTCGGTATACACACAGTATCCATCATAAGCAACTGCGCAACGCCTACTCCGTATGCTCTTCAAATCTTGATCCAAACACAATCCCCTGTCCTTCTGCCAAGATCTCTTTTCAAGTCAATAGCTCACGCCCAACAAAAGGCCAATCATCATCTCCGCCCAGAAGCTTGGCAGTCTCGTGGCTGTGGCTGTGTCGAAAGTGTATTTCCAAACCTTGAACACACGCCCCAATCCCCTTGTTCCTTTTACCTTATTTACGTACGCGCCCAGTCCCCAGAATATCTTGGCTTCTTTTCTCTTCCCTTGTCTCCTCTTTGTGTTGTTTTTAATAATCTTTTTAACTTCTTTCTCAATTGATGTGATATAGCATTTTTGGAATATCGCATACACAGAAAGATGGATTCGAATAGCCCGACCAGACGCCCAAGGGCTCCCACTATTACAGTGGATACAGCAGCTGTTGACGCTGGAAACGATACCGGTAATGCTCCAGTGCGATGCCCTGCTGGATTTCTGCTGTCTTTTGTCAACCAAAACTAACACCATCAGGATACACAGAATCTATCAACGCATCACCGTCACCGCTCGACGACACAAACACATTAGCTGTACCGACAGAAAAGTCACGAGCCGAGTCATGGTCTTCATCGCCGTCTACAAAAGTCGGTACCGACCACGAACACCTCAGTAAAGAAGTCGAGGCGCTGAGAAAGGGCGACCAGCAGGAAA